GCGGATGGTTTCTAGGACTGGACAGTGATAAATTGCTAACAAGGAAGAGGGTCTGCCTTAGGAAGAAGGTTAATAACTTTTATGTATATTTTCTTGCAGTATTATCAGAAAGTCCACCCAGCTTCACCATTACTGTGACATCTGAGGCTGGTGAAAATGATGAAAGTAAGTCTTTTGACAGATACTTGGGGTTTTTCTAATCTTTTTAGTAATTTCACTCATTCTGCAGTCATGGTGCTGGGCATTGAATGTGTGGATGTACTAAAGTGCTGTTAAGAATCTAGCATAAATGTTGTAATGTGTGTTTGTAGTCTATATTTACTATGTAAAGGATTCTTAAGAAATAGAGAGGAAGAGAATGAGATACGTAGCCTGGCAAAATTTGCTGGGTTTTAATAAGTGAAATAGAAACATTAATAGTACAATAAATAGATGGAAGATTTTTGTCTAAAACAAGACTTTGCATGCAAACGTTTTTTCAGTGGTTGTGTGGCTTTTAAGTGAGTTGACCATTAATTTTCTGTGGCTGTTTTTCAACTTTGGACATGTTTGTTGAACATGTGCTTTTATTATTGGGGCTGTATTTACACTGGTTGTGTTTTTCTCTTGCTCTTGAAATAAAGCAGCTTTGAAATCAGTAAGTTAGGTAAATTAACTTAAATTTGGCTTGTAATTGAAGAGATAGTGTCTGAAGTTCATTTCCACCTTTGGTCCAGGTCGGTTAATATAATAATTTGATACAAATGACATGTAAATTCCCATTCCCAGAATATTTTTCTTCTGTCATATAGTAAACCAAAATTCTGTCAGATGGAGTCAGTAGAGCCAGTTTTAATGGTATCACTTGATAACTCTAAATCTGCTTTGCACAATTGAAAATGAGGTCAGCATTGAGATATTTTGAAGTCTGAATGGAAAGGATGTCAGCTACAGTTATTTACTACTAGATTGATGACACATATACTCTTACAGTTACCTAACTTGTTTTCAATGATGCATAAAAATACAAAATAAATTATTATACCAATTGCTTTTCACTATTTAACATTTTTCTTTGTAAAGAAGGGGTTGACATCGTTTGGGCTCCATGTGATGCCATTATGTTTATCAGAATTCTGTGGTAGTACTCTTTGATAATAATCCAGGATATAATTTTAAGATTACACTGAAATGAAATACAACACTTAAAAATCTGTGGAGATTGTTCCCATATTCTGCAAATAGCTTTACTAGGACCTAATAATAGCTCTGTACAATTCATCAGTTCTGATTTGAGTATAATTTTAAATATATTTCAAAGAATTCTTATTGTTACCAAACCCCATTTTAATCAGACAACTTGTAGAAAAGCAAACAGAGGGAATAGATGTATAATTTCTAGAGGCAGCATTATAAAATGGTCATTTAAAAAGTTAGTTTTACTAACAATTAAGGCAAATTAAAATGAAAATCATATTCCATCTCATCCAATAGATTATCATTACTGGTAAGGATAGAGCAAAATGGTGTTGGAAGTCAATATAAATTAATATACATGTTCAGGAGAGCCCCTGGGTCATGAAGCAGGAAATTTAAAAACTATTCATACCCTTGCTGAGTATCAGTTACGAAATTTATTGTAAAGGAAATATTATGGCACAAAATGTATACAAATATAATCATTGCTTCTGTCCTAAACAATGAATGATGGCATACTATAGAATGGAAATATGCTTGGATTTATTATTTAAGAAATAGGAAGGATGTTCATATTATGTTTGAGATTATATATCTTTTTTTCTATTTAAGCTGATAAAAATTTAAATGTGTGGTACAGTGTGATGTTTTGGTGTGTGTATATGTGCACAGCACTGAGTATAGTAATGTGGTATATGTAAATTCTTTTTTGAAATATAAATACATGCATTGAAACATAATTTAAAGTATATTTTTAGAACTACTTTTAAGATTTTTAAAGTAAATTAATAGTGAGCTCTTCTTGCTGGTGGGATTATTTGTGATTTTATTTCTCTTCTAAATTTTCTATAGTGAATGTCTAGTACTTATTTTCTTTTTTGGCAGTACTGGGGCTTGAATTCAGGGCCTTGCACTTGCTAGGCTGTTTGAGCCATGCCTCCAGCCCTTTGTGTTCTGGTTATTTTCAAAATAGTGTCTTGCTTTTAGTTCAGGCCAGCCTGGACTGCGATCCTCCTGTTTTAAGCTTCCCACTGTCACTGGAATGAGCACGCACATGCTACAGTGCCCAACTATGAGTTGAGATTTGGTGGCTCACTGAACTTTTTGCCTATGTAGCCTCAATCAAGGTCCTTCCAATTTCAGCCTTCCAAGTAGCTAAGGAGCCACTAGCTTAGTGCTTATTATAATAAATCAATACATAAGACCATATTTAGAGAACAGAGGGAAAAATTAATATGCCAACCATAATATGTTTTATTTACTAAATTTAATTTTGTGTTGACAACATTCAATTTTAATCTCTTAGCAATTTCAAACGTTATTACTGGACTGAAGCTCTAGCTCAGTGGTAGAGAGCTTGTCTAGCATCTCTATTTTTGATAACCAGCTGTGCAAACAAAACAACAAAACAAAAAATCCAAATATCTGTATATATATCTATATATCCATATCTCAGTATCAGTTTGTAAAGTTTCATCTTTCATTTATTTTTGTCTTTTCCCTTAGCCTACTAGTTTCATTGAAATTTTCTATTGTTGTTTTTTTTCTCCAGCCGCTATTTTCATTTATTTCTCCTCCAATCATTATTGTTTCCCTTTCTTTGGTTGATTGTGTGCTTAGATTTTTTTCTCTAGATCCTTAGGGTGTAAAGTTTATTTATCTGGGATCTTCCCTCCCCCTTTTTAATATAGACATTTCTACAAACTTCCCCTCCCTTAAAACTTATTTTATTATAACCCATAAGTTTTTTTTTTATTCATTTATTCATATGTACATATATTGTTTGGGCCATTTCTCCCCCCTACTCCCTGCCCCCTCCCTTCCCCCACCACGCCCCTCGCTTCCAGGCAGAACCTGTTCTGCCCTTTCTCCAATTTTGTTGAAGAGTAGACATAAGCAATAATAAGAAAGACATAGTGTTTCTGCTAGTTGAGATAAGGATACCTATATAGAGAAATTCCTAGCATTGCTTCCATGCACAAGTATGTTACAACCCAAATTGATTCATCTCTACCTGACCTCTTCACTACTTCCCGGTCACCTTCCCATACTGTATTAGCTCTTCTGCAGTGAGGACATCAAACACTTTCATGTTTTGGGTTTCCTACCTATCCCCATTCCTCCTGTATGTGCCTCCCCTTAGCATGTGACCCAAATCCAACAATATTGCTGTATTTGCCCTAGATCCCACAAATGAGGGAGAACATACGATTTTTGGTCTTCTGAGCCTGGCTAACCTCGCTCAGGATAATGTTCTCCAATTCCATCCATTTACTTGCAAATGATAAGATTTCATTCTTCTTCATGGCTGAGTAAAACTCCATGTGTACAAGTACCACATTTTCTTAATCCATTCGTCAGTAGTGGGGCATCTTGGCTATTTCCATAACTTGGCTATTGTGAATAGTTCTGCAATAAACATGGGTGTGTAGTTGCCTCTGGAGTAACCTGAGTCGCATTCCTTTAACCCATAAGTTTTCATATGTTGTATTTCTGTTTTCATTTGTCTCTCGGTACTTTTTAAAAAAATTCTCCTTTGACAAATTGGTTATTTAGATGCTGGAACTGGAGGGAAGGGAGAGATGTTGGCCAAAGGGTACCTAGGTTCAGTTTTGCAGGATGGTCTTAAATGTTCTCAGCAACCCCCTCCCCCCAATTATAGCTGTGGGAGAGGATGGGTATGTTAATAGCTTCACTGTGGTAATCATTTCACAATATGTATGTTTATTACAATGTTTATCACATTGTATCCCTTAAATATGTAAGTTTTTTTGTCAAATATATCTCAAGAAACCTAAGGAAAAATAAAAGTTAAGGAATTATGTATTTATTTATTTTTGTGGTACTGGGGCTTGAACTCAGGGCCTCAAAGCTTGTGAGGTAGGCAGTCTACCACTTCAGCCACTCCACTGGCCCTTTTTGTGTTGGGTGTTTTCGAGATAGGTCTCATGAACTACTTGCTTGTGGCTGGCTTTGAACCAGGATCCTCCTGATCTTTGCCTCCTGAGTTGCTAGGATTACAGGCATGAGTCACTTGCACCTGGCTAGGAAATTTCTTATTCTAGCAATAAAGTTGGAAATGTGTTAGGAAATGAAAGGGGAAAGGGAAGGGAAGTCAAACTTTTGTATTCATCGACTCACAAAATTGGTCCCTCCCACTCACCCTCCTGCTCCCTCTCCCTCCCCATATATTCTCACTCCCTTCTTTGGCTTATACTATTACATAGATCTGACACTTGTTTGGGAGTGAAATTCTGATGAGCACATTACTACAGGTTTTTCTGCAACCCATCTCAGTGAATCATGTTAACTTTTTCCAGATAACTTCTTAAACTGTTCTCTTGAAACTTTATCTTCTAGCCACAGCTAGCAGTGCTGTGCTGGCTTTATGCAGATATAAATACAGATTTTAGGACTACAGCCAGACACTGTAGCTTGGAACCGCCTCTGGTATAGACTGAAAATGAGACTAAGGTAGTACTTTTTTCTGTGTGTTATGTGTATTCCTTGGTTTTTGTTTATTACACAGAATATTTGAAAGAGTAGCTTTTGTTCATCCTGTTTCTCAGAAGTGAAGGATAATAAAATGACAGTTTCATGTGTAAGAAGTGATTATTTTGGTATTTCCTTGATTTGTTTCACTTACGTTGTTGTGGTATTACTGATTAGTGATTAGCTGGTCTCTTGGTAACTTAATTTTTTTGGTAAGAAAATCTTTTGTGCTACTTTTCATTGACAAATTGTAAACTAATTACTGAATCTACAAAAATACTGATTTCTATACTTTTAATGTATTCACATCAAATTCTTATTTTGTGTCTTAGCTGTACAGACTACCCTCAAATTCACATACAGTGAAAAATATCCAGATGAGGCTCCCCTTTATGAAATATTCTCCCAGGAAAATCTAGAAGATAATGATGTCTCAGACATTTTAAAATTATTATCATTGCAGGTAAGGAAATGCGAATTTTGTTTTGCAGTGCTGTTATTTTATTGGCCTTAATGCTATATGTTAATTTAAGAGTTAGACAATGCTATTAAATATATGTAAATAGTGCATTGACCAAGCAGAATTAATGGTTCACAATCACAATGCATCTTTGTTTGTTTCCCACTGTCCTTTAAAATTTGCATTATAGAAATTGTGTTCCTTTTTGAACCTCAGTCCGTTCCTTGACTTATCTCCTTATTCTTTAAGTGATAAAACAGCCAGACAGATACTTTAAGACAGAAGCACAGTTTTTTGTTTTTTTTAATTTTTATTTTATTCATATGTGCATACAATGTTTGGGTCATATTCTCCTCCCTTCCCCTATCCCTTCCCTCTCCCCCCCTACCCCCTCGCTACCCGGCAGAAACTATTTTGCCCTTATCTCTAATTTTGTTGAAGAGAGAGTATAAGCAATACTAGGAAAGACCAAGGGTTTTGCTAGTTGAGATAAGAATAGCTATACAGAGAGTTGACTTGCATTGATTTCCTGTGCATGTGTGTTACCTTCTAACCTTTTCTGTAGTTCCTGGTTCCCTTCTCCTATCGGCCTCAGTTGCTTTAAAGTATCTGCTTTAGTTTCTCCGCGTTGAGGGCAACAAAAGAAGCACAGTTTTGATTTGTTTTTTAGACTGTCTAGTCCCAAGTATAGCTAAAAATTCCAACCTAAAAAAGAAATTGAAACTCCCACTCCTTCATCTGTTTCAGGCTAGTTGCTTACTGTCTGAAAGGAGGACTGTGGTTGATTTTTGTTTTTGTTTTTCTTTATCTCTACTCCTCCCTTAATCTTATAAAAACCAATAATGTCTTCTGATCACAAAATGGTAGGTGTTATGTGGAAGAAAAAAATGGATAGGGGAGGTTCTTTCTGGATAGGTTCTGTTATGGGATGGGGGGCTACCCAAAGTGTGGGCTTGGAAAGTAGTTAAAATTTATTTGTGTTTGGGTAGACAGCTTTCATGGATTCATCCGAGTAAAGAATAGGGAGGGCAAGTGAAAGCCTTACTGCACTTTTTTTTAAAAATCAGAAGTCCTAGTTTGTTTGACTTAAGAAGAAAACATGAATAATAGCAGACTTAAATAATGAAGGACAGGAATGTGAAACAGGTCATTTTAAGGGGAGGATAATAGAGAAGGGGAAGAGTAAATAGAGTATAAAGGAGGGTGAATATGGTTGAGGTACTTTCTATACATGTATGAACATGGAGCATTGAAATCTGTTGAAGTCATTTTAAGAAGGGGAGTGAGGGAAGAGGCAGAAGGAATAATGGAGGGGATGAACCAAACCAAGTACAATAGATGTATATATGCGAATGTTACAAGAAAACCCCCCCGTATGACTAATATATATTAGTAAAAAAAGTTTAAAAAAAAAAAAGAAAGAAGAAAACCATGTCCACTCTATATGTGACTATTCTAAGTACCAATAGTCCTCTGACTGCTTAATTTATAACAAAAATATTTAGAGCTATTAGGGAATAAGGCATGAAAAAAGGTCTGTCAGGCAGATTTTGTTGTTCCTGGGCCAGCTCATTCTGTTACCCGTGGAATTATACTTTGTATTACAATTTGGCTTAATCCTTCCATTTAAAAATATTGTGGAGAATCTAGGATGGTTACACTGTATTCAGTCAGTCACACATTTATTCATTCTGAGTAAATTTTCCTAAGTGTTTAGTATTTCACTTATGCTCATACTCTGTCCTTTCAAAAAGGCAGTTGTATACTACTTGCCTGAGATCACATGCGTTGAAAGGATATTTGTACTTTTGTTTTAAAAATAGTATTAAGTTTCAGTTACCGAAACAAAAAATTCTGAACTCGGGCATGAAGAAAAAATGATCACTTTTAATCACACCAACTAAATATGAATATCTACTAATTTGGTAACATTCTCCTTTTCATATAACAATGTATGTGGACATCTTTCCATTTCAGTTAAACATACATGTGTATGAATCATTTTTTGATAACTATAAAATTCCATTATATGTATATGTAATCATCTATATCTTTTTAAAAACACAACTTATAATTGCTTCTCATTTTTCTTCATTTAATATGTAATTCTTTCAACATTCTTATGTATCTATCACTGTTTAGATTTATACCCCAAGTCCTCCATTATATTTCTGTTCTAGTGCCTTTAGTGTTACAAGGGAGATATTCAAGTATTTGTTGAATAAATGAAAAGACTGAATTAGTGATGAGCACACTAGTCCAGTACTTTCCATTAGCAGAATTGCTGGATTAAAGGGTATGCATACTTAGCAATTGCATACATATTTCCAAATTGATCTCAAAATGAAAATGCTAGTTTATGATCTCACCATAGATACTACATTGTCTGTTTTCCTGCATTTACTAATAATAGATATTTTAATTTAGAAATAAAATGATGACAAGATGAAAATGGTACATAGTTATAATTTGTATCTCTTCAGGTACTAACAGTATGGAACTAGTATGACTTCTAGGTTGCCTGGTTTCCCTGTGAATTGATATCCACCCCTGGTCTCATAGATTTCATACTCTGTTAAGGAATGTGGACTGGAAATCATTAGTCTGTGTGAAAAACATGAGAGAGCAAGAGAGAGAGAGATGTTGATTTTTAAGATTTTATTTTTGCCTGAAACTTCCACTCACATAGAATTAATTGATCTTAGAATTTGAAGTTGGTGGTGAAAAGATTTTAAAAAGACCTGTTGGAGTTTCTTACAGTGTTCCAATCTGGAAATGATGGTGGGTGTCCTGGGATAAGGTGTTGACAATGTTGATAGAACAATGGGCACATTTAAATGACATTTAAGAATAGATAAGAGGCAGAGATCAAACTTACACAGGGTAGAGGTCTTCAGGCTAGGGTGGAGGGAAGTTAGTGGTATGGTTTGTTAAGATTGAGAAATCAGGAATGGGTTAGTGAAGATGGTAACTGTTGGACATCAAGTCATAATTCAGTGGGCAGTTTTAATAAGGGTTTGTCACTTGAGAGAGAGGTTTTTTTACTCACGAGTTTAGGATGATTAGCATAGGTAAACCACAGAGAAGCTCTATTAAGGAAGATTACTGGACCTGGTTGAAGTCCGGCATTTATGGAGGGACTGTGAGATGAAATACCCTCAGATGTTGCTGAGGCCAGCCCTGTAAAAGAAATTCTTAGTAATCTCCAACTACCATGATTTGAAATAATATTTCTCTCTATCTCATTTCATTTCTGTTTTCAAATGACCAGCTTCCAAATAGCCTTTAATTTATATTCCTTTCATGAGTTGGAGATGCTTCTTCATTTGATTTTAAACCATTTCAAATATGAAGAAAAAGAGATTAAAGGTAAATTACAAAAGTACCCACATTTTAATTGTAAAAATTAGAAAATCACCTGGCCTCAACTGAGCTCATTGTCAGAGCTCTTACATCTCAAAAAGAATTAGAATGCTGAGACATGCTGAAGAGATGATGTTACTGTTTACTATAGGAAAGGGTTCACTGAATTCTGCCTATGTGATTTTTAAATAGAATTAACTGAAATAGCTGCTTTATGTTGGAAATAGCAAATTACATAACATTTAAAATAAGATATTATTTATATATATACTTTTGAGAGGGTCATTTGTGTAAGTATATATGAACATATGGAGTAGCTAAATTAGTAATCATGTTATAAACATGGGACTCAGTAATTATACTAAAATTTTGTTTTGTGGATTTGTTCTTATTTTTCTGAGATGTTTCTCACCACTTACAACAGGCTGAAGAAAATCTTGGTATGGTGATGATCTTTACTCTAGTGACAGCTGTGCAAGAAAAATTAAATGAAATAGTAGATCAGATAAAAACCAGAAGAGAGGAAGAAAAGAAACAAAAAGAAAAAGAAGCAGAAGAAGCAGAAAAGGTATACGTAAAAGGCTTGTTTTCTTTCATTAGTCTGTAAATCTGTTTGTTGGTGAATTAATGATTAATTTTTCTCCTTTTTTTGGCACTTTCAATATTGTGTGTGAGGAAATAACAAAAATAAAAGTAAATTTTGGTAAAACTTTGTTAAGAATAAAATTTTAGAAAACTCATTTGGTGGTAGCACAGCATGAATAATGCATAATGATGAGGTCAGTCAATCTCATGCAAGTAGGACCAAGAAATGTAAATTATTTCACCTACAGTTTAGAGTTTTGAATTATAAAGCCCCTATTGCAGTAATCTAAATAATTCCTAAATGTGTAGAGAACCACAAAATCTGAAATGAAGTGTAAAAGCAGTGACTTAGTGTTATAAATTGATGTGTATTCAAATATATTAATACTTATAATGGCTTTCTTAACAGCAAATAACTATGATGAATGCAGTAAATACATCTTGTTTTCTTTACATATTACAGCATATTATCTTTTTTTTTTAACTCAGAATAAGTTACCCATACCAAAGGGAGTCACTAGTACAGACAAATCAGATTAAATTTTTCAAAATTTCAAACTTTTTAAAAAATAATTTGTCCCTGTTTCTCATATAAATGGTTGTGTTTATTTGTCTAGAAGACATAGTTAGGTTTTGTTAAACTGTCTCATTAAGTTGATAACTTAAGTCTTTTTAATTTTTAAAGCAATTATTCCATGGCACTCCTGTTACAATTGAGAATTTCCTAAGTTGGAAGGCCAAGTTTGATGCAGAACTCTTGGAAATTAAGAAGAAACGGATGAAAGAAGAAGAACAAGCTGGAAAAAGCAAATTAAGTGGTATGACACTTCGCCTCCCCATAATCATTCTGGATCGCCCCAAACCCTCCTGCATTTTTCCTTGAGTAGTAGAAGGTTCATTTGGATAAAATTCTGTAAGAAAATACGTATCTAGGGCAAAAAGAGAAAACATCTACAAGATGATATTTCCTTGTACACAATGCATAATTACCAGTAATTGTACATCTTTGGTATAAAAATACTACAGATGGTAGATTTTAAGATTCAGGAATGTTTAGAATCATAAGTCTTGGAAGTGATAGAGTCAAACCCATACTTTTCCTAGGACTCTAGGCAGATTAGGTTTGTACCTGTTCCATTTTGATGTGAATAAATTTCATATGTCACTTAGCTACTGAATGTGCTCGTATTTATTTTAAAATGATTGTCTGGAAAATAGGGAATATTTTGCCATTTGATTAAACATACTTTGTATATTTCTTTTAGGGAAACAGCTCTTTGAAACAGATCATAATCTCGACACATCTGATATCCAGTTCTTGGAGGATGGTAAGATAACTAGAATTCCACATGTATGCAATATGTTATCTTCAAAACCATAGAAATTAGAGCAGTAATTTTATTTAATATAAAGTTTTCCTCCTAAGGCTGTCAAAGAACACATTTTGAAGCATAAATTCTGATAGCTGATCAATTTATACATTTGAACTAAATGCTTTAATTCTATAGCCATGTATTTTTTTTTTTAAGTTTTCTGATGACTTAAGCAATCTGAAAGTAGCAATAGAAAGACAGAATATGCTAGTCTCTAAAAACTAGTAAACTAAGACACTGTGACCTGAGTCACAATGTTTTTGTGGAGCTGGGGATTGAACCCAGGGCCTTGTGCCTGTCTGGCAAGTGCTGTAAGGAAGGAAAGATAAGGAAGGAAAGGAAAAACTCATTTAGGATATCTTTTATTTTGCTTAGGAAGTGTAGCTCCTAGAAACTTTATCTCATTCTTTCTTGTGCTTTAGTGGTTTTAGTATCTTTACTCATTCTTGACGCCTGGCCCTTTGTAATGGATGTAGTATCTTTTTATATGTGATAACTGGATGCTTAAGAAAGATATTTTGATTCTGCCTCTAAAATATCTTCTCAGTGATTTCATTTTATTTGAAGGTTTTATTATCTTCACATGGACTTTTATTGTAGCTTCTTGAATTATTTTCTTGAATTTCTTCCTCCTTACCTATTCTATAGTTGCTGCTTCTGAGGTGGTAAAACCCATATTTAATCATAAAACTTCCCTAAAATCCTTTGATGGTTACAGGAAAAGGTTGACTTACATAATGATTCTCAGTCTGGACCATATCTGTGTTCTCTTCAGGTATTTTGTCTCAAGAATCTTGCCTTCCAGTTAGAAGTATTCAGAGTTTTGCCTTTTTTTCTGTGCCTTTGCGTATACTTTTGCCACAGAATTGTTTCATCCTTGCTTTTTTTCTTCTTAGTGCATTCATATTTTATCATGAAGACTTTTAGACTTCATCTGCTGTCTGAAACCTATAGTATGTCTTTAAGAGTCAGTTATTCCTTGGCTTGGACTAGTATGTTGTGTTTTTATGTATTGCTACTACTCATAAACCAAGTCTCAGTCTCTTCATATTCTCCTTGAATCAAATGTCAGTAGGCTAGAGTCTGAGAGGGAAGAAAGATACAATTTGTGGTGATTCAGAGTGTTACAGTATCCTTTTATTAAAAACCTATTTCAAACAAACTGCAGAGTCTGGCTACTGGTTCTTGTAGTTCTTAGACATTTGGGATCTTTGAAATCTAGTGGTTATAAAGAAAACTGGGGGAGAATAAAGGTCAAGTTAAATCTGTCAGTTAAGTAATGGATATAGCTGAGCTTTAAGCTATAATGCTGTGGGTTCCTGCTACTTTTAGAAGAGAGAACTCATGGTACAGATCCCAGTGATAATCAACTTTGTATAGCCAAGATAATGTATCATTATTGTCTTCAACTTATAATATGCTACATTATAAGTAATGCATTCTAATAAGCATTTTCAAAAAAAATACCAGATCTTTAGACTATGAGAAATGAATTTGCTCCTAAAATGTCAGTCTCCACTGATCAATATAGATATGATTTGCACTGCTAGTTTGGGATTTTCATTATTCACATCTAATATGCTCATTTAAGATGTTTCCATTTGCTACTGCTAACAAGTTACATTTCTTTATTTCTGAGTCTAAGACTGAAGGTCAAATTTACTTGCTTTTTGCAGCTGGAAACAATGTGGAGGTAGATGAGTCATTGTTCCAGGAAATGGATGATTTGGAGCTGGAGGATGATGAAGACGATCCAGACTACAATCCTGCTGACCCAGGGAGTGACTCAACAGACTAACGGCCTGTCTCCAGAGAGGCTTGATTGCCACAGCATCTGTGGCTATGCTGAGAGGGTTTTGAATTTCCTTCCTTTTTTTCTAAGAAAAAAAATTAATTTTCAGGAGAATATTCTTCTGATAGCTTTCATCATTGAACTCAATAAACTGACCTTAAAATTTCAAATATAAAATGTTCACTTTCTCTTGTTGATGAACAGAAAGTTACATATTTAAAATCATTCAGTGTTGGAGAGTGAGCCTGCCTGTAACATCAAAACTTGAAGATAGGCTGCTGCTGTATGTGTGGGTTTATATACAAAGAATTGGAATAATTCAGAATTTCTAAGATGGAGATAGTGATTACTTTTGGATTTCAAGTGGTATCATTCAAATAATGTATTAGAAATCTGAGATGGATAGAGCATTAAACCTGAATTCTAGCAAATTGAAGTCTTATGAAACCAGAAGACATCCTGTAGAATTCTAACCTCTTGGTATAATAAATTTAAGTCTTACAAAACCGGAAGCCCATCTTATAGTCAGGAACAAATTGTACTTTATAGTTTCATTTGAACTGCAGTTTGTAGTGTTTTTAAGAAATACACAGTCCTAGACCCTTCTGAGGTTAGAGTCACAAACAGCTCCAATTTTAAAGCAATGAACTCTGATGCCAGTTTTACAGGTGCTTCTGATAGATACTCCTGATTGAACCGATGTTCTGCAGTTGTTAAATATATGTTTTCCCTACTAATTCACCAATCTGAAGGGGTCTGTGAGGGTTAAACATTGTCTGCAACAGAAATACACATCAGTATTAATGCATATGTGAGACCTTCTTCATATTAACTTGGGATGATTGACTTGGAGGCATCAGGTAGGATATCCAGGCTTCATTCATGTTTTCCACTCACTGCAGCATGGAGGGTTGACTCTTGGCCTCAATTGGTAATCACTGTGTTATTGCAAATAGCTGCCTCTGTGCAAAAATACATATGCCACATACCCAAAAACAGTGATATCAATCCCACATTTATTTTTGGAGTCAGATCTTATAATTAAAAACAAGATAGAACTGTCATGGAATTTAATACTTTTCCAAGGGATCTTTTGGTTATTATCCTTGTTCCCAGATTGAGGAATGGCAGTAATGTTCAGCATTACTATGCAGAGAGATCCAGCAGTTTGCGTTACTTGAGGCTTTGCTTTTCATAAAGAGACACTTTTTGAATCTGATCAGTAGAGGTATGTGAACCTAGAAGAAGCTATCAATTGAGGTTAAAAAAGAAGGCTGAGTAATGTGTGCTGAGGTCAATGAAGACTTGATCTGGAACTGTCAAGAATGATTCCTCTCTCCCCTTCACGGAATTAAATTTTAAGGATAAGTTTTATATATTTTTTCCAGGTCTTGAAGTGACTTTTCACTTTTGTCAGTTTAGACTGTAGGCAGAACCTAGTGGTAAAATGAAGATAATATGGTAGAGTAAATATTAATCTTATTGTTGGATTCATATTCTGGGAAGTAACCCTAGAATTTGCTTCTCAAACTGGAGCACACATACTTCCAAGATGTGCAATGGCATAACTTGTGGTATTTGAAGCAATATGTAGTTCATCTTGGATTATCAGTTATTTTGGGTTTGGGAAAATATTTTTCTACTTGTGCCAAGTTGTATAATAATATCACAGAGATAAAAGCATGGAAATAATGTGCATTCATTACTGTATCCCTTTAGTAATGCCTGGCACAGAGTGGACACCTAATACTGTGAATGAATGAATTTTGGAATAGAATGCAAATTTCTCATGCACTAAAACATGAGAGTTCAAGCAAGTTTTCTGTTTGCCTTCTGCATCTTTGAATAAGGCTCCTAGTGTCTCTGCTCCTAGAGTTTGTGCTCTTTTTCCAGCAAAGATCCTTAGGGAAAAAGTTCAGTAAGCACTGATCTAAGGCAACACATCTAAATAGTTATGAGAACATTGCCCAGTTGAGGTAAAACTTAAGGGGAATGATCAATAACATCTCAACGAAAAGAATGAGTTTTCATTGTACTTTCAGACTTGAGATATGTTTGACAAGAAGCAAAGAGGTACATTCTTAGAGTCCAGAGACAGGTGATGATTGTGGGTTTTTAGTGTTTGTGTGCTAGCCCTTGGTTAGGAGTTTGAGGTGCAAATGGAATATAGGTGAACTACCTCAAAACATGCAGTGTTGGTTTTCAAAGAACATGCATGCCAGGTAGCAAAAAGGAGGCATTGTTTGATTAAGTGTCAAAATGAACCATGTTATTAAGCAGCCATGGGGAGTAGTTTAGAAAGAAACCATATTGAATGGTAGGTAAAATTTTTCAGAAGAGATGACACATGAAGTGTGAATTTATAGTTGTGTAAAGGTGAATGCGTGTTGCTTTTTAGGAACTGTGTCAGGGCAACAGATGAAAGAATGTTGCCAAGAAGATGTAAGATTTCAGGAATCTGTTTAGATGAAGATTCATGTGATCTTTGTTAAGTTTCTTATGTCAGGGTGGCTGAATGGGTCATTTTAATTGTTGAACAAATTCATCAAAGGGCTTCTTATGTTTTGTTGTCAAGGAAAAATCATTAAAAATGATTTTAATTTTACATTTAAAACTATTTAGATGTGTTGGCTTAGATTAGTGCTTACTCAACTTTGCATGGATGGGATGAATCTCAACCTAGGTCTCATTTTTTGGTCTAACTTTTAATTTCATTTTCATTGATACTGGACAACACAGTCAAAAACATATATTTGCTTTGCAGTTATTTATTGGAAATGATCACTTTAGATGACTCATTAAATAAGCTGACTTATTGAGCCACTAAAGCGAACACTTGAGAATTACTATGTCCCAATCATCCTTCATGGCAACATTAAGTGACTTTTCCCCCTCCCCTCCATGAAGGGAAGAAAAATAATGCTTTTCAGCCTTGACTTTTAATATTCTAATCAGAACCTTATCCAACAAATTCTATGGTAAATGAAACTTTTAAAGAAGGGAGAACCATTCCAGGGCTTGGGGGGTGGTGGTGGTGTGTTTCTGTTTCTGTCCATGGTCCTGAACCATCAGTGTTAAATAGCAATCCTGTGATGTAGCTAAATATTTCAGGAATACTGACCAATTAAGAAGAAAGTGGAGAGTGCTGACTGATTAGTACTATTGGAAAAGCATAGCCTTTAAAAGAGGGCAAGTGAGAAAAAGACAAGTGGTAGGGTTTTCAAATAATGAAAGTAACCAAAATAGAGAGATTCCACTCAGAGATTTTTAATTTTCTTAAACAACTAACATGATGAGTTTTAAAAATGATTGTTTTGTTTTTCTGCCACTTGCCCATCTCTACTCAGCATTTCTTAATTTTAAAAAATATTTCCTAGCCCTTCCTTTCACTGTGTCACCACATTTGCAGCCATTTTCCTTGAAAGAATAGTCTCCATTAGTTTTCTTGACTTTGTCTCCTTACACAAAGGTGAAGTGTGTTCAGTTTTTAAAATTCTTTACTGTTGAACACTGCACCATGGTATTTGTTGGCTGGAATCAATAAAAATTTTTTAAAGGTGAAGATATTTAACAAAACTACCTAATGATCCACTAATATACCAATGCTAAAATGAACCTTAACAGCAACAACAAAAAAATGGGAAATGATAGCTTTGATGAGCTCTGCATTTCAAGTTCTATTTGCCACTGTTTTCTCCTTGCTATTTTCAACTAATTTTATGGAATCCTGTTTAAGATGGGAAGTCTCTCTGAATGTTTTTAATACTTTATATTTTAATTCACCAGTGATGTTTAACACATTTCTTAGTGTGAAAATACATGATAGTTGTTTAGGATAGTGGAAAAAAATGGTGAAAATTGGAATAATATAGTCTCTTGTACTAGCTCTGGGAGCTTAATCAAAAGGCACCGAACTTAAATTTCCTCTTGGTAAGATGGAACCTGACAATACTTAACATACGTTTTCCCTTTTAAAAGAGGAATATTGATCAACATGCTCTCAGTTGGTCAGTTACCAGTGAAGTTTTTCACAGGGTTTGGCCTATAAATCTTCCCTGCACCATATTATTCTACCTGCTGTACACAATAAAGTTGCAAGGAAGTATACTCCATCTTCCATTTGCCATGATCTTTTCAGGGGAAAAAAATAGAATCTTAGGTCAGGAAAAACCCAAAAAGTTATTTAGCAGAGCAGACAATACCTCCTTTAGCTACAGTTGCATAGCTACTGTCTTGCATTCCTATCTGTAGCTGCCAAACTGCCTCAATGAAGAACAGAATAGGGATGTCCTTGGCTTCCTATTCCATCAACTGTGGCCTCTGTTGCAACTGCATTGCAGTTCAATTCCCTCTGCCTGGTGTACTTCCCTCAGTCCCTCACAGATACTGTCCCTGAGAGTACATTCCAGTCTGCATGCAAATCCTAGTCTGCTTCCTGAAGGAACACAACCTAAAATATTGTAAACAATGAAAGCACCATAGTGACCCAATCAATGGCAGATGGCACTTGAATTGGCTGATGGTAGAGTTTGGAAGGATGGGTCTGGAGTTCATGCCAAGGCTCTACTTCTTACTGACCCTAAGTTGTGCTAGGGAGAATGGTTCTGTGTGGGTACTGTAATGGGTGGGAGCATTTGTGGTCATCACAATATACCATGGTGAGCAGGAACCAGCGATACTAGACATTTACCAGTGTGAACATTCCTACAAAACAAAACTATCTAGAATTCTGCACAAATTTCTTATGTTCTTCTGTATACTCATAGATGTGAAAACCCAAATATAACTGTGTAGAATTTAATTCTATTTTTGCATATGAACTCTGTTTTGCAAAGTTTTAATAACCATTGAGTGTTGCAAAAGTGTAATTACCATCCCAATCAAGGAAAGATTCTATTTTGTCATGTTCAAGAGTTTTTCAGCTGTTATTTTGTTAAATACAAAATAACAATTACAATATCTCCTACATGAATATTTGGGACTATTTTTCCAGTCATAGTGTTGAATTTATGATGAGCCTATTTATAGGAGCAATAAGTTGGCGACTTTACTATGCCTTACAGTAATACTTGAGTATTTCATATGTAAATGCATATTTTATTTTTCTTTTATAGTTAGGGCATTATATTTTTTGGAAATTATATATATAGTTAGGTCATGTTACCTACGGATTTTATCTAAGGAGAGTGAAGGAATTACAACATTAAAAATAGAAAAAACAATCATTATAATGTGTAAAATTAATGTAATTAGATTGACAACCTCAATATTGAGAATGTGGCACAACTGGAACTGTCACAGTGATTCAGGAAGTGTAAAATGGTACAATCATTTGGGAGAACTGGAGGTTTCTTATAAAG